TTGAGCGTACACGGCTTCGAACATCAACAGCGCTTTGCGTAAGTTGCGACCTGATTCCCTCGCGATCCGCTCGTTGAGGGCAGGGATGACCTTCCAGTTCTCCTTCTTGGCCGCTTTCACCAGGGCGTCGCAGATTTCGGCCTCCGTGGGCGCAGCGACGCGGACAAGTAGTGTTCGACTGCGGATGGGCGCGATGATGCCAGCCGTGCTGTTCGCTACCAGGATCAAGCGCACGTTTGCGCTGTACTTTTCCATTGTCCTTCTCAAGGCGGCTTGCGCATCGCGACTAAGTCCATCTGCTTCATTGATGACCACCACCTTGAACCGTTGCCTTGCACTCAGGTCTATCTGTTGCGTTTGTGCGACCTCCTTCAGAAGATCCTGTATGACCACGCGATCGTAGGACCCCACGTCGCTAGGCGTGATTTCTAGATGGTACACCGAGGAGACGATATTGAACTCTAACTTGCGATTCGAGGCGGTCGTAAACATGCGGGCATCGATCTTGATTTTCTCTGCGCCGCTGCCGTACAAGGCGCGTAGTGTTGCGAGGACTCGTGTCTTTTTGCCTGCGCCAGAGGGACCATAGAAGAGGAGATGGGGAAAGTCGGCGGAAGAAGCCTGCGGTTATCAGCATGGAAATCGTGTGAGCAATTGGGTTGGTTATTCATGAAAGGGGGGAGTTTACCAAGGCTGCTAACCGGTCTGAAAGGTCTTTATGGTAGGTGAGAGCATCGAGAGATCGAGGCCGGAGTTTATCGACAAGAAGCGCCATGGTAGGGAGGTTGATGTGGTGTAGATATCCGAGTCGGATTGTCTTGGTGGTGGTAGTGGTGGTGCTGGTGAGTTGGTTGGGTGATTCTTTAAGAATTCTGAGACGCGTCCCGAGGCGCGTAAAGTGATTTTGCATGACGTCAAGTCACCATAGCCAACGTACCGGGTATTTCTCTCCATTAACCCAAGATATAGGGAAGCGCTGCTTCTAGAACCACAGTAAGATCTAATGAGGAGCGAAGGCCCCTTCAAACACCGTCGTCTCATAGTGCAAGATCCCACCGGCGATCCTGACGACGACAGCAATGCCAATTTCTATTCTTGACGCAAACCCGATCACTACCAGGCAGTGCCAAACAGATATAAGCCACAGTACTTATCTGCACTCTAACGACACGGAGCAGCACATGGCACCCAAAGAAAAGGAATATATACTTGGCGGAGGCGGGAGAAGTGTCTAAAGGGTCACAAACAATATAGGAAATAGCGCTTCCAAGAGCCAGCAACAAGTCTCGTTTGAGCATTTTTGGGTGTATCTCATGATAGACATAGGAGCACCGCGGTGGCAGACATCGATCAAGGCCACATGTGTGATAGGACATGAATAGGCAACCACTCTCGCTCCTTCTGAAGGCCATGTGTGTGGCACAGGCTTCGCCATTTCGAACCACTGCCACTTGAGCGTGCCTCACAGATGCATCCTACACAGTGTGTTCCCGCCGATATCTTTGTCTGACTCGGGCCGGAATTGCCGCCCTCCGTCGACTGGTATTCAGACCGAGCTCTTGAATGACTCTCTCGTCGGCGGCTTGCATGCCTGGCGCCTCTGGGCTCCCAACTGATGCCTTGACTGTCTGCCCGAGATGCTCTGCTTCGGCAATTTCCTCCAGTATCTGCGGAGACCTCCGTATCCTTCTCATCAGAGGCTGCATGTGATTCACCTGGATGTCCCTCATCCCATTCATCCACATGGCGTAGGTGTGAAGGAGCGACATCAGAATGTCATAGAGACTATTGATTGCATCCTGCACATCAGTATCGACGTCTTCAATGCCCAGCAGCTGCAGAAAAGGGTGATAAACATAAGAATCAAACACGTGTGTCAAATATTCCAATATCATTTTCTCTGTGCGGCAGGGCAAGGCTGTGTACCTGCAGAACGATCAGAAATCTTCATCTTCACGCAAGGCAGGTGCTCACCATGTAATAAGTATGGCTCGTTGTCGGTAGGTACACCAGAGATTTTGATTTGAAGGGTCGACGGTGAATGGGGCTCGCGTCTTGACAAAGTCGATGTTGTTGATCTGTTCAGTGACCTTGTCGGCTGATTGTCGAAGCTGAACCGACATCGACCGAATCTGAGAGAGGATCTTCAGTTTGTTGGAATCGATGTAACCCTGATAATGATCGCCGTTGGTAGGCACCAGTAACGATCCAAGTCCCGCTATTTCTTGTGCAAGACTCTCGAAGGCTTCCTTGCACATCAACGGGAGATCGGCATTAGTGAGTTGTTTGAGGAACTGGTCTAATGTCGGAGAGTTGAGTGCATCAACAGAGCGAAGGTTAGGTCGAAGAGGAGAGGTATGGGCGGTGGACGTGGAGTCTTTGGAGACGGGGGTATCATTGTGGTCTGTAGCATTTGAACCCGGGGACGAGAAGTGTTCGCTGATCCCGGAGCTGGATATGAGATCTCCCGTCGTGTCAAAGTTAATGTCTGGGTACCGGTCGAACAGGGTCGAGAGGTCAGTTTCTATTGCTTCTGTGGAATTCGCCATCTTAAAGCGAGCATTGATCACAAGAGGCACACTTGGCTTACAGCTGAGACGGCGACAGCGAGAGAATGACAAGACGCGCTGACTGCACTGACTGCACTGTCCAAGGGAAGCAACGATCAGACAGAGAATGACCAAGCAGGAACAGGTCACACCAGAAGGAGCAGCAGCAAAGAACAAATGGAATATAGAGCCATCTCCTGGCTTGTTGCATTGTCGCGTCGCTCGCGTTCATTCACTGCCTCACCTGCATCCAGAACAAGTGGCCGCCGAGTCAAGACACTCAATCACTCATGGCACAGACACGCATTGACCGCATCGAATTTGTATCTCATGAATTTACCAAGTGGTTTCCATCGCTGGCCATGGACTGGGCCATCTGCTTTGAGGAGAGCCTTTGGCCTGGCAAACTGCCCATGAAAACGAAGACATAACGCCAACGAATTTCGGAGCCGGAATGCTGTTGCTCTTCGCGCACTGACTGATTGGCACTCCACTGAATCAGATGTGACAACTCAAAGTTGGGCGATTGTAAGATAGTGATAAGCATTCAACAGTTAGATCACAAAGGGCAGGGTCATCAAACAGGGTAGCTCTCACAGAAGCTTCAAGAGAGAAGCCAATCGGAGCCCTGACCTCGCCCAGCGCACAAAGCTCATAGTCACATAGCTCAAGACGAAGGTCTCAGAGCTATGGCTCTAGATGGTCTTCACCTCCAACCGCAGACGCCTGACTGCTGTCAGAGGGGCTCCGTCCACTTTGGCCGGTCGTCAGACAGTGACAGATTCTATACCAGCTGACTTGGAAGGCGATAGCTAGAGGCCTTGAAACGACCAGCCTTGACTCTGAGCATCATCCAGTGCGGAGCTGTACGCACTGGAACCCCAAGCACCAGGCACGACACCCGGTCCGACGGCAGGAATTCCCGAATCCTTCGCTTTGGTCGATTGGTCCTGCTGGTCTGTTTGGACATTGTCACTCTGTTGAGCGCCCGCTCCGGAACCGGTGGTATCCGGATAGTTGCTTTCAAACTTGAACCCTGGCGGTGGCTTGATATCGTCATCATCCCCAGGAAGCTGAGTGTCAACGATGTTGTTTCCTATGCGCTGGAGTGATTTGCCGATGATAGTTTGCACCCACTGATAGAAGAAATATGATGCCGACAGAATTCCCATGGCCACCACAATCCAGCTGATGTTCACAGCGCGGTCACGACCAGTAGCAGATCTCCCAGAAACTCTGCCAGTAACGAGGCCAGTGTTTCGAAGATTCCACCAGTGGAAAGGATTAAGAATCATGGTCCTGAGGAAGCTTAGCACGCCCATAGAAACCATCCCCTTTATAAAATGCTGAGCCCATCCTGACAGGCTTCGTTGGGAGTCGTTGACATCAACAGCTTGCCAGACGTCCTCGTGGCCAACGATTGTCTCGTAGGGATCTGTGTAAAGATTAAGGATCGGATCTGCGATAAATCCGAGAAGAAATATGATCACCAGCATGACAAATGCCGTCAAAACTCCCGATGCTGTTTTGCTGCCGAGGTATCTCTGGATGGTGAGCCTGTTGAAGTTGAACTGGTACCCACACTCGTGGCATTTCCAAAGCGAGCCGGGTCGAACGCCCTCAGTCCGAGACCGCAGCAGACACAGCTCATGTATGTACCGCATGCCTCCTCTGCAGTGGCACGGCTTAATCAGCCGACCGTATTCGTCTTCATTTTTGTATTCCACAACGGGATGTTGAAAGGCAGGAGGGAGACCGGGAGGGTAGAGAGTAACTGTGGCGGGCACCTCCTCGAGACAGAGTCGGCAGGTGCGTGTAGGATACGTCCACGACTGGGGTGATTCGGGGGCATCCCCGTTCAAGGGAGCATGTTTCTGCGAATCTTCTGTGGAGGCCATGGTTGAAGGAAGATGTAGGGAGTGTGTGCCGATTGCCAGCTAATGCCTCTCAGAGAGCCTTCAACCCTAGCGACTCAGAAGCACCATGATCCGGAAGACGAATTTCAACGCGGGTGCAGCAACACAAAGCAAAGACTCAAGGAGGTGAGAGGGAGACTCGAAGCCTTAGAAACAACCCATGGCAGCGCTGGCCGTGACGAGGTCAGCACTGCCTGTAGAAGATGGAAAGTACCAGAATAATAGCCTGTAGATGTGGTCTGAAAGAAAGGAAGTGAAGGAGGGTGATGAACTCAAATGTTGTGTGTGGGGCGCGGGCACTACAGGGGAGTTTCAAATGACAAAATTAGTCGCTTTTCCACTGCACGATTCACATTCGAGGTCTGGATTGTTTGATAAATCTTTCGCGAGGCCTATAGCAGACTGACTACTTTGATGACTCCTACATTGACGAGGTTTCATACAGGGTGCGGGACAAGAATCATCAGCTTTCCAGCTCGCTCACCCTAACAAGCATGCCGTTCTTCTTGATCGGGTTGACAGGGTCAATGGGGCTCTAATCGAACTTTCGGATCCTCTCGAAGATCTTGTTCAGCTCTAACCTTGCAATGTTCTCGCCCATGCAGCGGAATCTGCCATTGCCGAAGACAAGATGGTGTGCCTCTTCCATGACAGCTAGGCGTTCGGGAGATGCTTCCAGCCAGCGCTCGGGCCGGAAGATTTCCGCATCAGCACCGTAATACCTCTGTATTATGGCGATGCATATTCCAAGCGCAAAAGGCGACTTCAGTCCCGGGAGGAAGGTAGACGCCATTGTGCGTATCACCTTGTGCCCCGACTACTCGAGGGAGTAAGCCTGCTGCTGCTGGGTGCTTGCGCAGAGCCTCCTTGATGCAAGCCTGCAGGGAGGGCAGTCTTAGGGCTTGAGCGTAGCAGATGATTGTGTCCAAGGGTATATCTGTTGCCGCTGCCTCGGCTTGGAGCTTTCGGTATATGTGTGGATTTGCCAGGATTGACAGAGGAATCCAGTACGAACGATGATTGCCGTCGTATCAGAGCCGGCCAGGAGTTGGAACAGGGATTCGTCTGAGATCTCGAGTTCCGACAACCCATGGTTCTTGAACGACGTTACCATATCGTAGCGTCCTGCCTTCTCACCAGAGAAACGGCCAGCTATGATCTGGCGAGCAACTCTACGTAAACATTAGTCTCGCTGTTTAATAGGTGACTCTCGATAACCCACGCTTTGGCCTTCCCTAACCCACTCTTTTGGTGAAGGCACAAGATTGGCTTGTACTGTCGGGATTCTGGCGATAGCTGACAGCAACGGCCCTGCCGAGAAGACATTCATGATAGGGAAGTTGTCCTCCATGGACTTCACATAGGTATATTTATCCGTGTCGTCAGAGACGAACCCGAATGCCTCACCGAGGGAGAGATATGTGATCACGGCCAGTATGAAGTATTGTGCGAGCTGGGCCCAGTCGAGCGGCTTGACGTTGCATCCCACCGAGAGATATTTCCGTTTGATCAAGCGCACGACGTCCATGACCATCTGGTCGATACTAGGCTCACATTCAGGGCTATCCTTGCCCGAATACTGTTTGCCTTGGTAAGTATTTCCTCACTGACGCAGACGAACTTCGCGCTTACTCCAGGAGACAGTTTTGCACGCATCAGGGAATGCTTGTCGTCGTTCAGTTCGGTGAAAAGGTTTTCTCGCTCGGCGTCCATCCTGAACGCCTTGTACCATGTCCACGGGAGTAGTCATTGATCCCGTGCGCATTTGCTTTGCGGTACAAATCTAGATCTGCGGTCACCACCATTGACGGGCTGATTCTGGCAATGGATCCTGGAATGTCGGCCAGAACACTTCGTCCGAGTCTCCTTGTAGGAGCAACAGCTTTTCATACCATAACGATCGCAAGCCTATTTCAGGGCCAGGTGTCCTTTCCCCGAGATTGCAGCTTTGATCCACCACCAATTCGTGAAACCTGCCAAAGGTGGCCCAGGAACATGTCGTAGTTTGTTGTAATATGCGAGGAGGGTTGAGATGACAAACCAACCTAGCCAGGCGACGGCAAACAGGACGAAGATTTTGACGAAGCTGACCTGCAGCGGTCCCGTAATCTGCTCCAGCATCCCGGCGCAGTCCCACCAGAGTTCTGCTGGTATGTCGGTCGAATTCAGTGAAGCAGTCCCGTTTATGTGCACTGCCCAGAGAAAGGGACGGCCGCGCAGCTTCAAGAGGTTCAGGTGGCTACATGTATGGACAAGCAAGTTCGCGGTGATGGGATCTTGGGGTGCAAATAGATGGGAGCTGAGTGGTAGAGGAGGGGAGAGTTCCCATTCATGTAGCTGCTTCTGTACGTGCAGTCATCGAGGTGCATGTGCATACCTAATACAAAATCCATGTGCCGCCATGTGTGTGGCGTGGCACCCAGGCGCGTTCGGTGATGTATCTACGCAATCCGTAGTGGGCTCGGTGGCTAGAAGTTAGAACTACTGTACTTGTAGATTGACCACATGGCTTGTGAGCTTCGGCTACTTACCGTACTAGATCACTGAAGAATCAAAGCACCTTCAGAACGACTACACATACTCCCTCGCTGTGAGGAAATGATAACCACTTGCGACTGACGGGAAGTTACGAAGATAGCGACTACTAACTGTTACCAACGGACCGAAGTATAATCTCTGCCTTTCAGTGTCCGACTTAGAACCGACACTCCAAGCACCACCAAGGCTACGATGTCGCCCGCTTCTTAGCCCACTAGATAGCCTTCCCAGGGACGGCCGGTGGGCTCGCAGAGTCATCCCCAGAACCAAACCGTTTCTTGGCCTACTTAGCCGGAACTGATGGGCTGATGGGCTCATGAGCTGCGAGAGAGGCATGTTTTATCAGTAGAGTCGAGGCGCTATCTACCGGGATCCAGCAATGTCGAAATAAACGAAAAGAAAAAGAAAAGAACCCTATTCGATCTTCTCATTATACCCCCGTATTAGCATCAGAAATCGAAGCAGCGAAACGCAAATGGCTTCAACCCAACCAGAAGCTGATGCCAATGAACCAAATCAAACGCCTAGCGATGTAGAAGTCGACCATGGGGTTTGTCCAACTTTCGATTGCAACTTTTGCTCTTTGCTTGAACTAATCGGCGCTGCAGTACGACAGCGAAGACTCGGGTTTTGAGCCAGATTTGGTCTTGACACAATGCGTTCGGTCAAGCATATACCAATACAAGGTCGAGAATGGCCGGACATGCCATGCATATAAAGAAGGCCAATATTTCATGCCAAACGACTTAGCCGAGCACGCGCCTAGAATTGCAACACCGCGCAATGTTCTTGCCGCGAGGGCCAAGCTCTTATATGCACCCGTCACACAGCTTCAGCATGTCCTAGATCTAGGCACAAGCATTAGAACATAGGCCATCGATGTAGCCGACGCGCACCCCGAGGCTATAGTGACAGTTGTAGACTTGAGTCCTATTCAGCCCTCGCTCGGTCCACCAAATGTCAGATGGGAGATAGATGATGTCGAGGACGATTGGACATGGCCGCTAGACCCCTTCGATCTGATATACAGCCAATTCATGCTCAGCGGAAGCATCGCCGATTTTCAAAAGTATTTTCAACAGGCTTTTAGGTAAAGCTCGACGCGATACCCAAACATAGTTGGATCTAACGCATGGTCCTCTCGTGTAGACACTGCAGACCAGGTGGCTACTTTGAGCTCCACGACCTGGCCACATCCCTACGAAGCGACCATGCTCCGATTAGCCCAGACAGCGCCGTCGACGAGTGGTGTCGCCTCATGCGACAAGGCATCACCGGCATGGGACGCAGGCTTGACCTAAACTTTGAAGAACTCGGGGATCTAATGCGAGAAGTTGGCTTTGTCGGCGTGGTTGTCCGGCCGTTCAAGATCCCTATAGGCCGATGGCCGTCTGATAAAAGGATGAAGGAAGCAGGACTGTTTCAACTGTCTGCGATGCTGAATGGCGTCGAAGCATTGACACTCGCCGTCTTTACGCGCTGCTTGGGCTGGGAGGCAGAACGTGTTCAAGTATTCCTTGCTGGTGTGAGGAAAGAGTTTAAAGCCACAAAACGCTATACTTACTGGCCATGGTACGTTAATGACCGAGTGCGAATCGATTATGCTGACATCTCTTGCACGCAGCGCCGTCATTTACGGCAGAAAGCCTCGACCGGTGCCCGAATAGGCGATGCACTGTAAGCGACCGTAGCGGTGGGCTGGCCACCCGGTATAGGAACGACCTTGTATGGAACAGTATGCGGGATCAAGCATGACCCAAGAAATCCTGTTGCTGGATATAATGGGCGTACATCCAGATTTGTGACGGTAAGTACTTACGTCGAGTCCTCTGCGACAACCGCCGCGCGGTCAGGGCAGTTGGTTTGGCAACGCCGCCTCTGAGTAAGCGAGGTTAGCAGTGACCAACTAGACTCGCCCTAAGTGATGTAGCTGTGGTCGCGAGCTACCTCGTTCTTCGGTCAGCTGTTGAATGTTTTGGAGGGACAGTGTTGGGAGGGTTCTTGGGTATCCCCGGGTATTGCAGAGGGAAAGGCAAGGGAAAGAGTATCAGCTATTTCTCAGTATACTCCGCCCAAGGCTTGACACGCCAAGACGCGCAAGGCTGCCCTCTAACGACTTCGTCCGCCCTCAACAAACTCGGGACAAGGCCGCACTTTCTCACGGCCAATCTACCCTTGACGCAAAGGATCGCTTTGGACCTGAGCTCCAGGAGGGCTTGTAAATCCAGCCCATTGTATCTCCTCGTGTGCCTTCGGTTCCTGCAGTCCTCCCACTCTTTCTTACCCCGCAGCTCTACCTCTCACCATCTCGAACTCAACGAAGGCGTGAAGAAATAATTGCCCTCACCGCGTTTTCACTCGAGGGTAGAGAAAAAGGCTATTCAACAATGACAAGGGGCTGTATCGCTTCAAGCTGAAGCTGCCATGTTCTGCAATTCTGATGGATTGATCTGCGAAGTAGATCGGTGATTTTCAGGGAGAACGATTTTGCTGTTCAACCTTTTCAAGGGCCTAAGACTACCCAACTTGTCTTCTCAGGCCCACACTCAACAGGCCCTCTATTTCTATCTGAGGAAGAGCGACATCACACTTCTCCTATCTACCCAAGAAGAAGATGGCGCCTTCAGCACCCGAGATGCTCTCCCCGGCTGCGTTCTTCACCACCCTTCTCTATTTGGTGAATCTCGAGCAGAGCTCCGAGATCGCCGAGACGTCCCTTCTCTTGTCGTCTACGCCACCCACGACCCTTTCCCGTGCCGGACTTGCGATCCTCAACCTCTCAGTCCACTCCCTGAAGACTGGGCTCGGAGGCCGTAGTGTGGTTGAGCTCGGCCTCGATCCGGCCGTCGTGAGCAAGGATTCCAAGGGTGAGTTGCCCGAGCACGGGATTCGTACAGGGGATATCGTGCGGGTCGGGGAGATCCCGAAGGGAACAGCGAGAAAGAAGGAAGCCGCAGAGTTGAAAGGAAAGGGGGTTGAAGGGGTGGTGGTTCGCGTCGGTGAGAGGGCTGTTTGGGTCGCGCTGGGCAAGGATGGTGGCGGGAGCGAGAATGTCGAAGAGGTGCCGGACGGCAAATTGTGGCTGTGCGTTTCCTCGGTGTTTCCTGACATCGCCAATGACCTGCTACAGAATGACGCTGACGAGTGACTGATTGTTTTCTCGACAGAGTCAAACTTGCGAACGATGTCACTTACAAGAGGTGATTTATGCCACATCTGGCCCTCGAGAATCGATCGTGGCTGACCGATCTGTCCCCAGAATGAACCAAACCTTGACTAAACTTCTCAAGACACCCGAATCGTCATACACGACCCTCCAGCGCGTCATCCTAGGCCTTTCCTCCCCAGGCACAGCTGACTCGTCTCAATCGAGCGACATCACGTTCTTTGACCCGACATTAAACCCTTCGCAAAAGGACGCCATCCGCTTCGTCCTCTCCTCGCCGGAGATAGGGCTCATCCACGGCCCGCCTGGTACGGGAAAGACCTACACGCTTATCGAACTGATCCTGCAGCTTCTCAAGCGTAACCAACGTGTTCTAGTGTGCGGACCCAGCAACATCAGCGTTGACAACATCGTCGAACGGCTTTCCTTGACCTCCCCTAGTACACCAATCGTTCGTCTAGGTCATCCGGCCCGCCTCTTACCAAGTGTCTTGAACCACTCGCTCGAAGTGTTGACCCGAACGAGCGAAGCAGCGGCCATTGTAAGCGATGTGCGAAAGGAAATGGACGAAAAGCAGGCGTCAATTCGGAAGACTCGTAATGGCCGCGAACGACGCGCGATTTACGCCGATTTGAAAGAACTAAGGAAAGAGTACCGGGAGAGGGAGGGGAAGTGCATACATGGGCTGGTGAGCGGCAGCAAAGTCGTGCTGTCGACACTTCATGGTGCAGGGAGTTATCAAGTCCGTAATCAGGAATTCGACGTCGTGGTGATTGATGAGGCGAGTCAGGCTCTCGAGCCACAATGCTGGATTCCGCTGGTCTTCGGAGGATCCAACGTGAAAAAGTTAGTCTTAGCGGGTGATCATCTGCAGTTACCGCCAACGGTCAAGAGTGCAGACAATAAAGACAGCAAGGAGCAAAAGAAATCCGTGACCCAGAGTCTGGAAGAAGACCTTGCAAAGCTATCTGTCAAGGACGAGGAAGTAAAGACAGCGAAGAGTTGGTCCTTGGAAACAACAATGTTTGATCGGCTCTTAGCCACACACGGATCTGGGATCAAGAGACTGCTCAATACGCAGTACCGGATGCATGAGAAGATCATGCAGTTTCCAAGCGACGAGCTGTACGAAGGGAAGCTTGTCGCGGCCGATGCTGTAAAATCCCGACTCTTGAGGGACCTGCCATATGCAGTAAAAGAGACCGAAGACACCGTCGAACCCCTTGTGTTCTTCGACACGCAAGGAGGTGATTTCCCTGAGAAGACCGAAGACGATTCAGGTGGCCAGATTCACAAATCGACCTTGCTGGGAGACAGCAAGAGCAATGAAATGGAAGCGGCTGTGGCCGCCATGCATGTGAAGAATCTGGTTGAAGCCGGAGTCAAGGACGAAGACATTGCAGTGGTCACGCCTTACAACGCACAGGTCGCCCTTCTCAGCTCCATGCTCAAGGAGAAGTTTCCAAACCTTGAACTCGGCAGTGTCGATGGCTTTCAGGGCCGAGAGAAAGAGGCCGTCGTTGTCAGTCTGGTCAGAAGCAACGCTGCAAAGGAGGTGGGCTTCTTGGGTGAGAAAAGGAGATTAAACGGTAGGTCCAATCTCCCCTAATATCGACCTCGACTGTGTTCCGCGTACCTATGTACTTTTGCCTGTCTGCCAAAGACCCAGTTGTTGTTGTTGTTGTTGTTGTTGTTGTTGTTGTTGTTGTTGTTGTTGTTGTTGTTGTTGTTGTTGTTGTTGTTGTTGTTGTTGTTGTTGTTGTTGCTGTTGGGTGCTTACTTTGCGCCAATGCGAGGCATCCTGCCGCTGGAATTGTTCTTTTTGTATCCAGAATACCTGACAAAGCTGCACTCTTTAGTGGCAATGACCCGACCGAAACGCCATCTGTGCGTGATTGGCGATTCAGAGACGGTTTCTCGCGGCAGCCCCTTTTTGAAGAGGTGGATGAAGTTCTTGGAGGACAATGCAGATCTGAGATATCCAAACCTCGAGGATTTGGGACTCGGATAGTTTGCCTGCATGTCACACAATGCACCTGTAATCAGAGATCTGCAAATTCGGGCTCATGACCTAAACCGTCGACACCCAGAGTCGGCAAATCGTATCAGCGGGAGACATGCGATTGTATTGGCTTGTTGGCGGCGAGGACATTTTGAAAAGCATACGAAGGCCCCTCGGCCCCTCGGCCCCCCTGGTGAGCCAGTTTCAAGTCGAGGTAAGAGGAGCCTGATGTGGGACGTCCTCAACAACTATAGTCGTTTTCAAAGGGGCAATTGGCTGGACTATACCGAGAAAACCCCCCCAAGAAACTCCATTACAACTTGTTTTCCGATTCGACCCTGCATTCAGCACGAGATTCGTCAATCAAGAGCGGAGTACCGAGTACAGGATTGCCTACTATCGATTCATATCACTCGGCGTCTTGCGGGTCAATTGAGAGTGTTGTGTATGCACTAAATGGTCAAAAGCGCCGCTATGACTCTCTTCAATATTACCGTCCACGGAGCCTGTCTTTTGCAAAAAGGAAGTGGATTCATTTAGGCCTCCCGCCGCCAATTCCGTCACGGAATCCCCAATAAACTCGTCCCGGGGGCCGAAAAATCTGCCCTGTCCCAAAATTGTAGTGTGGATGTGTAATTACCTATTCTCAGACGCTGCTATCAAATCGATGGAGATACTAATTAAGCCTTCTGTCGAGGGACCGTACTATTATAAAAATGGTGAGTTTTTTGAGATGAATAGACCGGCAGCTGGCAAATACATCCCTGGCATAGCTGTGCATCCTCATATCCCATACCGAGTAATTAAGCTGTTGTTCAGTCTCGTTTGCCGACGTATTTGCCCGTTTCGACCTTCTGTTGTCGTTGCTGTTGTTTTGATCTTCACACTGACTGGTGGCGGATCCAGTATTGACCGGACAGCTGGTCCGTGTGGTTCTTATTGGGAGCCTGAGGACACCTTGCATGGTTGTTTTGATTATACCACAAGGCGTGGCACTGGCTGCACCAACGCCAACCGCCTTGGTAGTCGTGTCCCGGGTTTGGAACATTGTGCAAGACGGTATAGTTCCCGCTGTTGGAATAGTCGTGAGTTCCTCGTTTGGGACACACGCCTCGACCAGTGCCCGAGCTACTGTGGCATAGCACATAGCACTTGTTGCACCATTTCCAGCCCTGTTGCCCGGGCGCGCTCGGGTCATTGTGCGTCACGCTATACTGTCCGCTGGGCTTGCTGATGTGGGCTCCGCCACCGGCACAGGCATTGTACCCGTCGTAGGCCAATAACTGGCACTTCGAGCACCAACGCCATTGATCTTGGCCGCCGTTGGGCGGGTTCCCGTCGATGGACAGGGTGTAATGGCCACTTCCGCTGTGGTCGTGGGTGCCTCCGCTCTGGCATCTGCCCGCGTTCCCTCCGGCATACGCGAGGCCGAAACACTTCCTGCACCATCTCCAGTTCTGCTGTCCCGGCGCCGAAGAATCGTTGTGCGTGAGACGGTAGTTGCCGCTTCCATTGGTGTCGTGGTTGCCGCCCGCTGAACACGGACCGTTTGACCCCCCGCCGCTACCTGTATAAGAGAGGACTTGACATTTTTTGCACCACCTCCAATGGTCTTGGCCGGGACCGCCAGCCCCAGAGAGAAGGCTGTAGTTTGAACTGGTCGAATGGTCGTGCACTCCACCAGCAGGGCATCTCGCTGTCCCAGCATAGTGAAGGCAAGAGCATTTTTCGCAGTACCTCCAGTGGCCCTGTAGAGCTGTCGCAGCAGCAGACATGGCACTCAATCCTTCGTGACTTTCGGAAGCCATTGCTAGTACCCAGAAGAGAGAGGTTCAAGAAAGTACCCAGTAGGCGTCAGGAGCCAAATGTAATGGTAGTAGGAAAAATTCAGCCTCATAAAGGTGCCCTAGGTCCCAAGGACTGAGAAGAAGATTTTATAATCCGACGGTTGCCTTTGGGTGATCATAGTTCTCCATTGGCACGAATGGATGTGAAAAGCCTTACGTAAATGGGATGCAAGAGATGGCGTGAGGCTGAACTGCATTGTCGACATCCTTGTTCATGTGTTGTTCAAATGATGAGCCTGTGGACTGAGATTCCTCGACTATCCAGAGTGCCACGAAAAGCCCAGCCTTGCCCAGCCTTGCCCAGCACATCACTTGAAGAAGGATCCACCGTCATTGGCGCAAACCGACAAAGCTGAAAACACGACAAGACATGCAGGAGGCACAATACGATGCTCACATTCTGGGCAACGAATGAAACTAGAGTATCCAACCGAAGTCTTCTCGTAATTGTGTTCTGTTGAGTGCATGTGGTTTGGGAAATACAAGGCCCGATTGCGTTAGGTAGAATGTACCTGTACATATGTGTTGCCAGTTGCCGGGAAAACTGCGTACGGCTCACCCTTTAGGTCCTAGGATGAGGGTAACGCTGCCCGTGCTCATCACCCCCAGCACGAGCGCAAAATCTTCTCGATATCATCTTCAGATTCCGGCAGAAACAAAAGTAGAGATGGATGAACCCTCCATGACGCCTTGGGTTTGAAATTTAAAGGGCGCCGGTCCGCCTGATACCTCCTCTTTCGTCATTTTCCTGTTCAGGGATCTCAGGTAGAGAGAATAACTGACAGTGAAGAGGATTCCGGCACAGGGGAAGGCCATATTCACAATGAGGGCGGTCTGATATCGGGGTGCTTCCCGGGCGAAAAAGATGTTAGACGCAACCAGGCCTATAGAGTTAGTACATGCCAACAGCACGCCGGTAGTAAGGGCACGGGAATTCAAGTTGGGAATATTGGCGACAGTCCCAGCCGAGAAGATCACGCTCATGGGGTATGCCTAGACCCCGTCAGTATCAGTACCAACAGGAGCCGGAGAACGTCTCTAGACTACTGATAGAGACTTACTTCGGTGGTGCAGAAGAAGATGGCCATATATGCAATACCTTTCTGCTTGTCGATGTTCACCCCAAGCAGAACGACATATCCGATCAGACTCAAAACCAGAGGAATAGTCATATGGAAGCCTCGCTCGCGAAAGTAGTCGGACGAATAGCAGCCGTCACGGCAGGTGCTACAGTGTACTGTTAATGTTTCGTTCAAGTCAGCCGATGCTATTGAGAGATTTCCTGATGCAAAACTAGTGCTAGTGCTAATGCCTGCTCCTCATCGTCGTGCGTAGGAGGAACGGAAGGGGCAGATAAGTTCGTCTTCGTGACCGAGTATCCCAATCGGACCGTCATGATAGCGAGGAAATTGGCGCTTACATTTGGCCAGATGCCCACCGACAGGGCGATCAGGACACGGGCGCAGCCATGGACCTTCTTGAACTCAGCAACAGCCTCAGACCACATGAACCGGTCGTTCCGGCTCTCCATGGTCTCGAGGCGGATACGCATCTCGGCCATATCCTTTTCGGTGGGCGTGAGGAAATAGGCATGCGCGATGTCCTGCGGGAGGATGAAGTAGGCGACGATGGCGACGATGCAGGTCAGGCAGCCTTTGAGAATGAAGAGATACGGCCACACGAACAAGTTACTGGACGAGGACGGCCTGATTTGAAACATCCCGTACGCCAGCAGGCCGCCAAACGCGGAGGCGATGACAGCTCCCAGCGTAAAAGATGGCAATGCGGGAAGCAATCTCGGCGCGAGTATACCATTTACTCAGATAGAAGACGACACTGGGGGGGAAGGCGTGGAATCAGTCAGCGTGCTTATTTTTTTTTGGTTTTCTTTTGCGGGGACCAAGGCCGTGCACGGGTGTATAGGTGTGTGAGTGAGGGAGAAAGACAGACAGAGGAAGAGAGAGACTTGCGATGCTAGAAACCCGGACTTGAATATACCGACAAAAATGCGACAGGTGAGCAGTTGACCGAAGTTTTTGACGACCGAGGTGCAGGCCGACGCAATACCAAAGGTCAGCATCATACAAGGCAAACTGACCTTGGCCGAGCCGACTTTGGTGAAGACGGTCATGACTGGGCCGAAGGCCTCGAACATGACATAGTAGAGGGCCAGGAGCAAGTTGTACTGGCCACCGGTCAACTTGGTGTCTTCGACCCAAGGAGCTGTTGGTTGTCCCAATGAAGGGTGTGTTGTCAGCTATCCATCCGGCTGTCTTAACCATTTCCATCACCAAGACAAATGAACTCACTTGAAAGTATACATGATGGCCAACGTGGGAAGGATGACTAAGTCGATTTTTAGTCGCAGCTTGCGGATGGTTCGAGAGTCCAAGGACTGGAGGCTGCCCATGTTGGCACCAGTGTCATTGGAGGGGGTTTGGACGATCACCCGGTCCTTTTCGTCGCGGCCAATCTTGTCAGAACTCATTGTGATTTCGAAAAGCGCGAGAACAAGACCTTGAAGTCAGAGAGACGAGAGAAGCGAGGCCTGGGAAGGTAGACTTCCTGTGGTATTTATCTCCACTCAACCAGTCGAGGATGGGGATCAGGCACAGGCCATTATCATCTTGATGTTATCTCCACGGCCATCATGGCCTGCGGATCCTCACCACGGACAAAGACCGGAATTCACAGCCAAGACCATCTGATGGAGATCGAAAGCCCTCGGTTGCGATGGTGTTCTCTCGGGCCATCCGATGCTCCACCCAGCGCGGATGACCCGAGAGATCCATCAATTCGAGGTTTGACCGATCTTCCCGCCTGGCAAGTTCCGCGGCGGCGAAGTCGGCCAGGGTAGTCGGTGCAGCTCGGAAGAGGATGAATGTGTTGAATGACTGAGTCACTGGCTGTGGACATATCCAGACGGGCATGCTGAACTAGGTACCTTGTATGCATCTGCGTGTCGGTTGGACACAACGACGGAAAGAAATGCAGGAGATGGAGTGGACTCCACGATGACCCGATCCCCGATGATGCTGATTTCGATTTGAACGAGTTGATATCGTTTTCTGTTTGATCTGAGATTGTTTGTCGTGGCCCGTTTTGCTTGGGTTTCCCTGTATTTGTCCTCGTATACGTCCGGCGGTCAAGATGCAGCTGATCGCCGGGTTGTTCGTCCCTTTCTCAACTCAACGCATCATTCCCCGGTCACGTTGACCTTCCTCGTATGAGAGAAGGCCGGCTGGGAGGAGCGTTCTGGACTGTCTGGGCCCCCTGTTACGACGTGATCGACGAAGACCCTGGGCTCGACTTCAACACCCCCACGAATCACCTGCGAGACTCCCTCGAGATGCTCGACATTATCCAGAACATGATCGCCTGGCATCCCGAGAATCTACAGTACGCCCGGTCTGACGAAACTTGGCCAAGAAACTCGTCAGGGAACTAAACCGGATCGGCATCGCCTCCGACTTTGACGGTATGTAAATGGAGGTTGATGGGTTGGAGGATGCTAGTAAATATCCAAACTTAGTAAGTCTCTTCTTCATCGCACACTCGCTTCCTTTCTCCTATCTCCTTACTCCTGCCATACCTAGCAATAACTAACATAGATCTAGGTTGCCGAGCTTCTCTCCCGAGGTTGGACGCCGGAAGAGATGCGTGGTGTTTTGGGAGGCAATCTCAAGGATCGATTGCCCTCATCTGCCATCTGGGAGAAGAGAAAGGACCTGCACTCGACGCGATGGGGTGGAGGCGTCCAAGTATACTGGCCGAAAGACGTCAAGGAGGCAGCGGAGAGGATTATGATACGACATGATGAGCTGTAATGTGAGAGAGAAGTAGGTCTAGTAATTTGCTCTTTCGATTTGCTCTCCTTTTTAAGTGGAAGACCGAGTCACTGGTGTCTACAGTCCACCACGTTGTCAACGTCGCCGAGTCATCTTGTTGCTATCAGCAAACAACAAATTGACGAACTCGGTCGTCGCTAAAGGATTCAAAAAGGCAAAGACACGCCCTAGGCTACTGAACCAACCCGAGGCCAAAAGTTGATTGATCGATTAAGAAGGAAGAGAAGTTCTATCTGTGACAGAAGAGGCCGAGAGGCTTGAATCCCAGCCCACCAGCCTGCGCCGCAATGCCAAGAGATTTCCTGACTAGCCTAATACGGCTAGGTCAAATGTTCCGCTGTCGCTCAAGGTTCACGCATTTGCTAGCGCGAATTATGGCCTGTACCAGGTAGAGCTTAGTTGGAGCTCTAAAGTCACTTCGGCCCTTATCTACCTCGTACCTCCAAGATATATCCTTGCCTTCGCGCCCACTCTTGACCTCGATTAACCATATTGGCGTTGTCTCATGCTTGCCTTTGTTGGCTGTTAGACGCCTTACCCCACGAAAGCCCCAAATACCCAGGTTGTCGAGTTATGAATTCCTCACCCGTCTCGGCTAGCCACCGCATACCGGCAGCCGCGGCGCAACTTTCGCTTCCTACATCTGCTGGCTCTCGAGTCTTGCAAGCCTGTAGTGTATGGTAAGTAATAAAGAACGTCTGGCTGGAGACGGTGGCTCAAGGCACACTATTGAAACTAACATCTGGATCTGGGTAGTCGGAGAAGGAAGACGAAATGCAATAGCGTCCGACCAGTTTGCAAAAGTTCCGTGCAAAGAGGTATTTAATGTTCTTGGCCCATGGAACCATCAATATCGCCTTCTTTGGGAGATGACGCAGGCCTCGCACTGAGTCCGGCGGCGGAAAATGAAGAGCCTGCACAGAAACGACCGCGGCGATCCAGAATGGCGCGTCGCCAAGGCAACAATCATCTTTCGGCGAGCTTGTTGCAGCGTGCGCTTGATATCTTCTATGCACGACATTACAGAATAGAGTTTTGTTCGCTTTTCCCCGTGTCATCGCTTGAAGTCGACACGTTGCGTCGCCGATCAGGATTTCCGGCTCATGCATTGGTCGCCCTATCTGGACTTTATATGAGTCGGGAGGAAGTGGTGGGAGAAGGATTTACGACGCCGACGGCATTGTCGCACGCGATAGTGTCACGAGAGTACTCTCGTCAATCTGTCGATGCGCCTTCAAATATAACGCGAGATATAGTCTACCTTCATTGTGATCAGGCTAATAAGTTCGTTTTAGTAAGTTCAATTCAAGCCAACCTTCTTCTTTCATTAAAAGAACTCCTGGCCCGGACTGCATACAAAGCTTGGATATTCACTGGAATTGCCATTCCACAAGCACAAACTCTGAGAGTTGGCATGGAATACCATCAAAGGCTTTCTAATCGTCAGAAAGAAGTCCAAAGACGTACGTATTGGTCATGTTTTCTGATGGATCGCCTTGTGTCCCAATGCTGCTGGAGACATCAGATGATTGACGCCGAGACCGTCCGTGTCAATCTCCCTTGTCTGGAGAACATATTCATCTTCGACTAAGCATTCGACGGGCCGAATTTAAAGGCACTAACAGTCCCTTATTTTTTTTGCAGTTCTTGATATATGGGCACAGGCTACTTATGCGCAAGTAAAGGGAGATTTTCGAGAAACCATCCATCACTCGAGCGGTGCGGAAGGCGGTCTCAGTCAGCTGGAGCAGAAAATCGATAAGTTATATGGCTCGCTACCTCCTACCCTGCAGTGGACCAGACAAAACAGAACAATTTTCCGACACACGAATCAAGAAGCGCTATTTGTCAATTTCCATTTCCTGCTTTGTCATGCGAGATGTGTGATGTATCAAGAGTACATTCCGTATCACGCCACGACATATGTGGCATCGGGCGATCAGGGACTTCAATATTATGGTGCTCTAATTAGCCCTTATGCTAATGGTCCGGATAGCAGAACAATATCTGTTTGCGTCTCCAGCTCGGAAGCTATCATCGATATGATGGCCGAACTGTCTCCGCGCAAACAGCTCCGGCGGAGCCAGAGATTTGCAATCCTTTTTTGCGGCACAAGCAATGTTGTCCGCTGTGAACATTCAGTTATGGCTCCAATACGTCGAAAGAAAAGACGACGAGACTTGCAAAAATGCTGCCGCGAGGGTCGCGGAAGTAACTGCCATCTTCCGGACTGGAAATCGCAGTGGCTAGTGGCAGCCGCATGGATGAGCACGCTCGCATCACTCCGCCAGCTCTATCAGGCCACATACGAAACTGCGATTTCCAGTCCGGAAGATGCCCGCCCTAACGGTGGAGATACAGAGGCGGATGAAGAGGCGCCTCCTCCTCCTCCTCCTCCTCCTCCTCCTCCTCCTTCCGTCATCGAGAGCGAGTCGCAGGAGCGCCTTTCTCCGCATCTCACTGAAGGCTACGGACTTCCGGACTGAATGAAGAAATGATTGACAAAATCCGATTTATCCTTTTGGCTTCGCTTGAAGACACCGATGTGCGGGAGCGAGTGCTGAACTCGTCGATGAGCATCGTCAAGCGGCCTTCTTGTGACTATGATGCACTGTTCCAGGACTGGGAAACCGGATTTCCCGAGATAGACATGGATGATGCGTGGTCAGGTTTCATCAGCGGCGGTGCTGCTTGATCTGACTACCATATTTTGACCCTCGAGCTGTGCAAAAAATATAGCTCATACAGATCCAAGGTCTAAAACTTAAACCCGAGACGGTCTATTTAACGCTCCTTCCGATATCGATGAACCTTGCTCTTTATCCAGCCTGCTGCCAGGTGGGTTGGTACAAATCACTAGGGATTTGGCCTCTTAGGCAGTCTGAAGTAGGACTTCAAGGCATTCGGCTTCTGATCTATATGGATACTAGCGTTGGGCAAGTATTGCAGGCTGCCTTAGTCCTTCTAGATCAATCTAGTCGACAGAAGTGACACCGACGATGCCGTATAGGGTGACACACAAAACCTCGATTCTCCAACTCAGCTCACAGTTCTGCTCTCTCTCCAACAGCCTCCCAAGGCTCTATCCAGACATCAGCTAACTAGTACAGCTAAGATCCTAGTACCCGTCAAGGGATCATCCTCCTTCTCTACCCAAGCGGCTAAACCAGAAGCCACATCCTTAGTCAAGTAAGTCGGTCACGACGTGAAGCGGTCAATCCTTATCCGATACATTTTCAACGCCGATAATCTCGCCGAGCTTTCACTCCTCCAAATTAACCACCTCCATACTTTCAGTAATCACTGTTGTCCTGTACAATTTGAACCGCCTTGCGGGCAAGCGAGCTTTGAACATCTCATCCAGCTCCGCTGGGGTTCTTCCTTTGCTTTCAGGCCAGTAAAGAAGGTGGCAACTAGTTCCAGAGTCATGCAAAACGCGAATGGGCAAACATTATACGGGGGTATGTGGGGACGGATGGGCCGACATAGATAATGCAAGATACATACGGATGAGCCGATGGACTCCTCCACGACTTTGATCCTGGAACGACGCCCGAGCCGTGCCCAGAATCCCTATCAATTCGGGCTTCAATCTTCGGTGGAATTGTTTACCACACTTCGCCAAATGGGTGACTGTTGTCCTCGGTGTAGGCTGACGGCTCGTGATGCCGTTGGTTGGGAATAAAATGGGACGTTTCCAGACCTTGAATGTTGCCTGTACAACACGCCAGAAGTTGACAGCCCAGAGGAAGCCCGAGGAAATTTCCCCGGCCTTGTATGTGCTACATCATCTTCACGTCCGAGCAGTGAGCAATATGGGTGTGACGCCTCTTACAACATCAGCAAGGGTGCAGCCCAACTTCCTTGATGAGGACTTTGCTCAACATGTCCGTCCACTGTTAGAAGAACTTCACATTCCGGGACTGAGCATTGGAACCGTGGATGCGGGAAGAGTGTCAGCACAAGGGTATGGGCTGGCGAGGTTCCCAGATATTGAAGCAAATTCAGACACCCTGTACTATGTGGACAGCACCACAAAAGCCATGGTTGCGGCGGCTACTGGAGTGCTGATCCACGGCGAAAAGGAGGAATCCCACCAGTCACTACTGGCTACGCGAACGGATGGGCAACGACCATCCGATCAATGCTGTCGCGCAAGTTCCGACTCTGCGATGAGTATGTTGCTGCCAACATTACGGTTGAAGACACGCTGTTGCATCGCACAGGTGTCTCCGGTGCTGACTAAATGTATGGCGACTAGATGTCCAAAGATCCAGAGGCCATTGTCCAGGCGTACCAACATGTAGGGTACCTGACCAAACTCTTTCGAACGTCATGGCAATACAACAATATGATGTACAGCGTCGTGGCCGATGCATTGATGGTTGTGACATCGTTGGATTGTGGACGATTGCTGAAAAAGCTGATATGGGATCCACCACGCATGACTTCGACATACTGGAGACTGGAAGAGATACCGACACAGAAGCGACAAAAAGACCTGGCAAGAGCATACTACTGGGTTCAAGGGGGGAAACAAGGAGGAGGGTATTTTGTGCCTGAGCCATACCTTGAATTTGCCGGCATCACACCGGCTGGAGCAGCCATACCGTCGGTCATGGAATTCACACGATGGATTCTCGAGCTGCTCAACGCGGCCAAACAATCCAAGGCAGCAGCGAGCTCGAACAACGACGCGTCATTACCAAGGAGCTGTTCAAAGAGCTCGCCACCACTCGATCAATAGTACCCGAGGAGGGGACTTTAGACCATCATCGCACATACGCTCTAGGCTGGATGTTAGCCCCTCTCATTGCGGGCATCGAACATCCCATCATGTGTCATGGGGGAGGCTTGAATGGATTTGGCACACAGGTATACATCTTACCAAACGACGACTTCGGCGTGGTCACAATGGGCAACACCGCAACGTCAAGCAGTATTGTCGGGGAAATCCTGGCTCTCGGACTCGTAGCAAGGAAACTTGATCTGGACGCTGCAGAGAAGGACAAGTTTGTAGAGACATTGAGAGCAAAGCTGCCACCGGACGCGGCTCCAGATACTGCGGCGAGGGCGAAGACGGGGCCTGCATTGCCTGCGTCCGTCATGGACGAAGTTGCAGGAAATTTTTGCAATCCTTGGTCGGCGAATACGGGCATGATGCGTTTGGACGCTTCCGCGTCTCAATCTACGATGGTCTCGGTCAACATGGCCCCATTGTGTACCCGCCATGGATTCCATATTCGCAGCGTGCCAAACGAGATGAACAAAGAAATCAGTTTCCCTGCCTGGAAGTCGTACCGCTCGGCGCGCGAACCTGGAGTTACAAGCCGCTCCTACATTTGCGGCCGGACTATCAACAAGGCGTCCGACACATGGTCGGTGGACCGCACCGGGGCAAGGACAAACCATCTCTGTTCCTCGACACGGAGAACTAGAAGGGGCACGGAAACAGGGAAGATGATGCTCTCCGAGGCTTGCCGACGGGCCTAGAAAATTCCAATGAACAGTGCAGCTTGTGCGGAGAGGTGGTCTGGGAAAGCTATAGCTTGACTCGGCTTAGGGCTGCTGTCAAACTCAGCCATGAAGAGGCGGCCATCTGGGCGGGTACGACTTCTCCCTCATGTATTCTGGGCATGAGACTTCTGTCATCGCTGATTGATACTGATGGAGACGACGAGGCAGGCTGGGAAGAGAAGATGGTCTGGTTTACGCCTGTAACCAAATGTGAGTCGAGGGAGAGTGAAAAGTGACAGGAGAACGGGAGGAGGCTGAGGCTCGAGAGGGGGGGTGAGGCGAATATACTGGCTAAAAGCGGCGCGGTCGTGGTGGGTTTCATTACGAGGTAGTGAGTCCCAAAGGAGCTCCGAGCAATTCTTCCAACACTTTTCCTGCCCAGCAATTTATTGCCAATTGATCGCTCCGTCACGATGAGGGAATGAGGCTCAGCCCGTGAATCTAGACTCAAGCCTTACTCTGCCGTCATTCTGCAGCAGACACACTAAGAATGGTGTGAACCATGGTAACGACGTGGACATGTGACAACAGTATCTTCCAATGAGACAACTGTTCAATTAGAGCCCCCAATGGTGCCCTCGTGTTGAGGCGCCTCTTTCTCCTCTCTGTTTCCCCTTCCGGCCCAACACGAAGAATACTACGGTATTTTGAAGAACTCGGTATTTCCGTTACAGCCGCCTCGAACAGAGACTGGAGGACATGCAAGCCTCTCTCTTGGCCAGCCACTTGATGCCACGACGCTGCATGGCCCTGCAGTCTGCGCGCGTCGCCGAGTTTATTGAAGTCGTTCAGCTGACACCCCATCCTAGCTCTCGTCTCTAGCAGGCTGGGGATATGGATAAGACGCTCCATCCGTACACGATCATGGACGCCATGGCTAGGCGAGTTTGTAAATCGTTGCCATTCTTAGCAAATCGTACACAATGTCCAAAGTGTCCAGAGTGTTCAAAAGGCTCCCAAAAATGACAAGGCCGCGTCCGGAGGGAGTAAGACGATCCCATCCAAGTCTACCGCGCCGCTTAAAGACATGACCCAGCATGAACGATTCCGAGCAAAATTTGGAATCAAAAACGACGGTACCGTGCCTTGAAAGACCACTTTGGAGTCGAAAATTTAATGCCGCCAGCAGAGAGGTACTAATATCTCCGAAGGCAAATATGCAGACCAGGACCTTTGGCCACGAATTCAACAAGCCTACAAGGTGGAAACCGGCTATTACCAATTCGTTGCGACACTATCTTATGGCTTGCTCTGGTTGCAAATCGCCATTGGAGCCACGGTAACAGCAATCGGATCCGACAGCAATCGCCGCGCGAGACTAGCAGTTACAATTCTTGGGGCCATCAATACCTTTATTGCGGGTATCCTGACTTTCCTCAAGTCTCGCGACCAGCCAAACAGAGCACTTCAATTTAGAAATGGACTCCGGGACGTGTGTAACGAGTTGTGGCGCGCAGATGCTGCCTTGCGGGACCCCCCCTTCAGATTATGATGATCACCACACTGTGTTTAACACCCTTTGGGATAAATACCAAGCTGTATTGAACGAAGCCGATGCCAATTATCCAGACCTGTGGGTCAGAATTGAAAGTATCCTAGGGGTGGGCAAATCTCAGCAGAAAAATCAGCAAAGACGTATTTCCAACACCTCCTCCAGCAGGCGCTCTACCACCAGGATCTCCAGTAGGATCTCCAGCGCTCTTTTCAGCAGGATCTCCATCACGTTCTTCAGCAGGATCTCCAGAACCCATTTCAGCGGGTTCTCCAGCAGGTCCTTCAGCAGTTGCCCTAGCAGCAGGGGCTCCAGCAGATCCTCGAGGAGATATCTGAGGGGATGCTTAGGGAGGTGCTCAGGGAGGTGCTCATGGGGGTACTCAAATAGATATGATGGGGGAGATACTCGAGGAAGTTCTCAAGTAGGTGTGCTCAAGGAAATGGTCAAAGAATAGTTAAGGAAAAAGTCAACGAAGTCGTCAACGAATTCCTCAAGGAGACGATGCTTCTAGGCATGAATGAATAGGTAGGAAATGGTGAAGCCTCGGTCATCAGGCCTGCTTTGTTATCCTCCAGTTCATGGAAAGTTGATTGAACCGTGACTTACGTTCGCTCAAGGCAGCACTCAAGTGCAATTGGTCCTGTCTGCAGGTAAGTGCGGGAACGTACAAGCGGAGGAGGCGAGGCCAATGAGACTCGATTTCGCGCTTCTCAAGAGCAGACGCCCTTTGCAAAGGGTGCCAGCGAAGTCCCTACCTCGTACAGTATTGCTTGCCCTGAGCGATGATTAGCAACAAGCGAGCACGTCCCAGCCAGTCAGTCGTGGCGAAAGGGGCATGCTGGTGGTTTCTGGCCTCGGGCGATAAAGCCCAACCAGCCTTACCGCATCCTCCTGTTCCGTGTTCACCGAGCACGTTTTGCTATCAGCGCCGATGGGATTCTTGGGTTTGACATCGGTTGATCCCTTTTGGCGCGTCTTCCGGTGCGCGCCAGAGACAGAGACATGTTTCTGTCCTCGACTACCCTTCAAGTTCGCTTGTATGAATTCGAAACGGCGACGTGGGCGACTGCCTTTGCGTGAGTTCAGTCGAAAACGGGTATTTCCGCGCTAAAAATGACTTGCATTGCTGCATGGCGCAGGGGTAGTCCTGTTGAATCCAATGGATTGAGCAGAATGGGAAAGGGTGGGCTGGCTACCTTGAACGAGCCCCCGACACATGGTCATGCTGGAGGGGGTCTAGTCGGCGGGGGTGGTATCCAACGACGCAGTTGCCCTTGGTCTCTGACCCTCCTCCTTGACGCTGTGTTTCTTTCAGCTTTCCGGCGAGTCCGTGGTATGGTTGTAGAGCGCGTTTGGACGGGGAAGCGGTAAGGAGGATTGTGCGGTGAGATGTCCAGGTGCCACGACAGCAGCTGGGGGAGTGCACGAACTGGTGCTGACCAGTCACGAGGGAGAAGGAGGCAATGTCGGTTGCAGCCAACCGGCATGTCAGGATGTCGATAGTTCGCTAGTGGGATGGGCGAGGATGGTGGAGGAAGGTGGAGGATGGTGGTGGATGGTAGATGGGTGGAGGGATTGACAGGCGCAAGTAGGATGGTTGGTCGGGGGCCGGCAGGTGACTTTTTCCCAGAGACAATAGCTATACCCAGTAAATCAATTGTGTGTGTAGGGAAGAGGATTGGGTGCAACACCAGCAGCCCCAGGTGCGCGGCAGATGGGTAGAAGGGAGCAAAGGGAGCAAAAGAGAGAAGGGGGGATCCCAGAGCGTACCTGGGTACGACGTACCGGCGGTAGGCAGGCCTAGTAGGGTTTAGTGAAGGTTAGGCAGCCTAGCAAGCCCAGCAAGCCCAGCAAAGCCCAGCAAGCCTACCTAGTGAGTCCCTCCAAGGCTAACGAATGACCGACCGGGGCGCATCGGCCGCTCTCTATCATGACTGGTCGACGCGCTGGCAGCCTCGACTCCCTTGACGCCCACATTTCCTCTTTCTTGCCTCCTGGCTCACTCTGCTTCACACCCACTTCCATCCCAGTCTCCATCGGGAACCTATCTGCCCCTCCGTTGCGCCGATACTGTCCGCCAAGTCGTCGTCCGCGCTCCAATTCCTCTGCTGCTGAAACAGGAACAAAAAGAGAATGATAGCTGTGAGCGCGCTGGACCAAGTGGGACACCACCAGCTGTCATTCTAGACCACGCTTGACACTGTCGGTTTGGTCACCCTTTCTTCTTCTGAGTTGGCCCTGTATCTTCCTAACCCATCGAGGGGCCTGGAGGCTTGAAGCTTGAAGCTTGGGATGGCCATGCGGGTCGAAGCGATGCCGAAGCCAACACCAAGTCTGTGATCTACGGAGTATTACAAGGATACCGCCCTACACCATCTCGATTCAAAGTCTGCTGTTCTAGCGAGGCCAGCTCCGTCTTCTTCTCTTCAAAGCCGCTTCGGCCCTTATTACCATCTGCAACTCTGCAACTTCTGCGACTTTGCACCTCTTGTTTCGCCCCATTGTCTGTCTCGAGTCTGCCTTACCTTCGGTTTCTGTGCGCCGTGTCGGTCTTCAAACTTCCTGGTCGTTCCTTCATAAGGTCATCATTGGCTCTGGATTCTTCAGGCCCACTGTTCCTTCTCACCACATCCTCTGACTGGTGTCGACCGCCTCATCTAGATATACTTTTGGCTCTAATCTTAATCTTCCACAAAATCTATGGTAGCCTCCCAGACCTCCGAAATTTGAGCGCTACAGTGTTGCGACTGACATATCGGTGACATATGCTATTGTGCCACTGTTGGGCCTACCGGGGATAGCACTTGTCGATGCGAGCTTCCCAATGTCTATTGACCCTTTGTGAAGCCGGCACATTCTCAAGCCTGAAAGCGTCAGCATGACGCGAATCTCTGCAGCGTCATTCGCCCAAACCTGATGCTGTGTGGTCGGTGAATTTTGGGAGGTAGTATCGCTGGACCTTGCAATTTCGCGATATGCCTTCTCCCAATCACAGAGCCAAGGGTTCGGGATCTTTGTCTTTGGCCAGTACGGGTGCTGCTTTGCGCCGTGGCGACCTGAAGATATCTGATCCAATTCCCTTCGATGAATCCGGACTCTTCAGCAACACAAGCACCGTACCACCATCCAGACATCCCTCGGGACAGCGACATAACGACACCACATGGCCACGGAAAAGTACGGCGACGCAGGACGTCCATGTGCGACATGTCAGTGATGTCCCGCCTCACGCGCGTGCTCGAACCTCTGCCGGGCCGTCACTAATTCCAAGCTCAATGTCTTCAATTCCTTCAAAGGCATCTTTGAATCAGAAGAAGCCTGGGGGATTGCGCGCAACCCTAAAACGCATGTTCTCGAGCAAGAAACACAGGTCCGTGCCAACCGATACCAGTGGATTCCATTACAGCGAGACTGGACATCTCAAATCCGTCGCAGAGCAACCAGTTCGATCACGACTGGACTCGGCTCCTCCGTTGGGAGCAGATTTTACCTCCCGAGGAGCTGCACTGACCTCGCATTCCACCCCGTATCCGCAATTTGAAGCTGTTCACGAGAGCTTACCGCCTCCTCCGCGGCGCGGGCGTCGCAATACTTTGCCTAGTCTGGTGTTCAGTGATCACCAGTCTAGTTTCTTGCAGGCAGTCGTTGATTGGCCTGTACCGCGATCCTCTCCAGTGGAAAGTGGAGCGAAAGATGAATGTGTCTCGGACCGTCAGTTCAAGCGACGATCTAAGAGCGCAGATGCACTCAACGAACTTGTCCATCGAGGCTCTGTTGAGCGTCCTTCCACTCGCGATCGAGCAGGTGAGATCGCTTACTGGCGCAACAGCGCCATTCAAAACCCTGTGCCTGTTTATAGCGGCCAGTCGATCTCGGTGAAGGCCACGCACGTCCTGGGGCCCGACAATTCGGTGGCGGAATCAGAGCACGATCGTTCCATCGTAAACCCCATGCAGACTTTTGACTTTGGCCTCGGAAGTCCAGAACATGACGAGATTGGACTAGAGCAGAGGGTTAATACTCTTGAAATCAAGCTCTTCGATTTTGAATTTGCATTGGCCAAGCTCCAAGGCAACGACCTGCCGAATCCACGGTTGAATCCAAGACCATTCAGCCGAAGCTCGATACGCGACATATTCCAGCAGAATGAGACAAGCCTGACGTTGACAACGGAATCGTCAAACGATTTGAGCTACCTTTCTTCTGGTGGAGTCCAGGATTTAACTTTCCTGTCTTCTCCTGGCGAGTCTCCTTTGCCTTCCCCAGAAGCCGACGACATGTTCCGTCCTCAAAGAGCGAGCAAAGCAACGACTGCCACAATCAGACCCGCGACCGCGCGACGACGATCACCCAGACGCTCTCGGGGGACTTCGCCGTCCTCGATTCACATTCCTCCAGACAAGTTCGAGGCTCTGTTGGACATGATGAAGGAAGAAAAAGCGGCTCGACAAAAATTGGAAGAGCAGGTACACGAACTACAGAAAGAGATGAACAGCTTGAGGACTCCGGTCTACGCCACAATTAGGGAACCATATCCGACGCCTAGCCCTGAGTCGAAACAGGATTCATCTGGCACACCACCTCGAATGAAAACACTACATCGGACGCATCCATTTCTGTTAGACCCACCTTTACCACAAGAAATTTCTCGTTTTAGCGGCACAGAAGATTCAGATGTTGAGGAAGGCTTTGAGGACGTCTATGAAACCCCGCGGGAGGAGCAACGTGATAAATTTGAGACAACGAAGGATTCGCAGGAGGTGGCAGTTATATGAGCGGCAACTGATGATTGTGTTGCATTGTTTGACTTTTACACCCACACACACATTTTCTTTGGCTTTCTCGATGCGCTTCTCTTTGGACTTTGGCATTGGAAGGCGAAACTTGGCTCTTCTGGCCTTGTTTTGACAGAGGCAATCAGTTGCACGGGCCTATGCATTGGGAAAACTGTTTACATGAGATACCCACACAGGTGTGATGAAGGTCTTATGAGTAGC